TGTTAAGCACTTAACCTTATTTTATATTCTTGATTGAGTTTTTAAATTTTTGTTAAAGTAAATAAATCATTGCCAATCTAAGCAATTTCTTCTTCACGACAAAGTTAATGTTTGTTTGTACCTTATTTACATTGATAAAATCAATACTTATCACGTAAGTAATGATATGTAAATACCTTGTTCATGCAAATTATGCACAAAGGGGCATTAAATTTGCCAAAAAAAAAAGAAAAAGGTTAAATTATCAAGATCACGAAAGTTAAGATGAGTTTGGGGTTGTTGGGTTTTGCCCTAATCAAATCCAACTCTTCTTGTGATAATTTTCAATTAAATTTGCTCATGTTAAATACTACATTTGGTTCAAGGAAAATGAAAGGAAGGGGGAGGAAAGAAAATTTTCATCTTCCGGTTTCCCTCAAACCAAAATACATTATAACAACTTTTACCATTAATCTCCAATTAGATAAATTTTACATGTCATGCGGCCAATCACTGAAAAGAAATGGTATCTAGAGTGTGCTAGGAAGAATGTTGCGGGCACTATTCTTTAACCACCTATAACCTCAAGAGCATTTCTCTCCTCTCCTTTGTTGATTATTTTCATCTTCTGACAGGGAAGAAGGTACAAAAAAGAGGCTCAGAAGCGTAATCCCTGGAAAAGTTCTTCGTTCATGCTCTATCTATATTCAGCATTGCATATAAGATAGAGCAGAACACTACATGGGAGTAAATTTTATACTATTGACCTTAGAAAAGGTCTTCCCAATGTAAGAAGACAATGGAGGGGGCGTGAGATTCAGAAATAGAAAGTCTGCAGGCGAAAGTAATTGACATTGTAATTATGAACAAGGTTCAAACCTCATTTTTGGTCCCTTTATTTTTACAAAAAAAATCTCTTTTTAGTCATTTACTTAAGAAAATCCCTTTGTAGTCCCCTAAAGTTTATTATCTAACCTTCTCTTAATCTTTATTTTTTTGCACACGGTACACGTTAGATAATGAAAATTATAAAGTAAAGAAATTAAAAAAGAACAAAAAATCTTCTTTTTAATCCTTCAACTATAAAAAAACTCCTTTTTAGTTCTTCCATCATTTAGCATGTCATGTGTGCCAAAAAGTAATAAAAGCACTAAAAAGAGACTAGATAATAAACTTTAGAGACCAAAAATAGACTTTCTTAAGTAGAGAGACTAAAAATGGACTTCTTGTTAAAGTAAAAAGACCAAAATGAGGTTTTAACCTTAACTTCTTGTTAAAATAAAAAGACCAAAATGAGGTTTTAACCTTATGAACAAAAATATATGTGTAAGTACGTAGTATTGAACATATACGAACATGGTTAAGGTGTACATTATTGTATTTGAAAACAGTACACTGCCAAAACGCAGAGCCGCAAGCTGACATTTTGGTTCTTAAACCAGTTTCGTGTTCTACCGTGAAGATTTGCAGCCGATAATGAGCAAACTAGTTTTTCACATATTGGTACTCCCCCAAACATTTTTTGATGGCCTCATTAGCAGCCTGTGATTCTGCCCTTTCTTCTCTCTTCTTTTTCTCCCTGAAAACCGAAAACGGCGTAAACAACCATGCTATAATAAAGAAGCGTCTAGAAAGTTTGTTTAATAATGAATATTCAAGAGGCACAGAAAATTTCAATTACAGTTAGATTTTAGACTTCTGGCAAGATACTGCTTATTGCTCTTGTATTTATTATGCATAATGGGATATATACTAAGCAATTCAAATAAGAATGTTAATGCTACAAATCAGGAAATCAAAAAAATTGTGCCAACAGGAATATACCTGTCCACATATTCCTTTAGCAACTCCTTCGCTTGAACCAGTTTGGAAAGCAGATTCCTATATACGTCAAGGTCACGATCCACGCTTCTCTTGTTGATATTTAAGGCAGCACAAAGCTGTTATACACAACCATAAATTAGATATGAAAGCATCAGTGGAAACAACTTCTTTCCTTATCTTTCCGGATAAATACCAAGTCGTTTCCCAGCAGAGGATTTTCCACATGAAACAAGGAAAAAAAAGCATTGTACTGGACTTCAACTCAAATGATGTAAATCTCAGGCCAGAAACTTTAATGAATCTATAGAAATTACCATAGAATCTATTTAAACCAAAAATAGTGAAGAACAGATTTCTTTGGACTAAAACCAAAAATAATAAACAGCTTGGAGATAGTTTAGTTCAATTCAATATTCATAAACTCAGATGATGTAAAATCATCCTAGCATGTTTTTGTCATTCAATATTTGAAATTTACCTTTTCTATAAACATCATTGTAGGTATCCAACAACTTCAGCAGAAATATAAACCACATTATAAGCTTTTAGTACATCTCAGTGCTACGAACATAGAGAAGAAAGAACCTGGATGCTGCTTAAATGTCATTTGGCAATCACATGATTATTACCACTCAAAAGGTTCAATTTCCACATTCAAAACATCCCAATCAAATTGGAAAGTCCATTTGACTATAATTCAAAGAAAGCATCAAACATATTTAGGAAGGTAAACAGGAAATTCAAGATTTGGGAAAATATTACAAAAAAGTGGGCCAAAGCATCCGAGAATTTATCATCATTTCTGTTACAAGCACTTGTGAATTGTGATATAACTTGGGACTGACTAATGTTGCATACTATATGAAAACCAAGAATAATTAAATTGAAAATTAGCAGGACTTAATTTTATTTATGAAGGAATTTAGTTTCTTGAGAAAAGAGAAAGCAATTCATGAGAAAATCTGCATAATACTTCCCAAAATAGTATCTATGACATGCAGATTAAAATTTAGGTTTAATCATTAAAAAATAAAAAAAGCTAGATTGTGAGAATGAAATTGAAAATTGGCTTGAGATTTTCCATGCAACAAGAGGTGTATACCACCACCTCTTATTCAGTTGAAGCAGATCCTGTTACTTAAAGTTCAATATGCTACTTCTAGGTATGACCATAACAATTAGTTAAGTGAACAGTTATCAAATCAATGAACTTTCACAATAATCACCATGCATTCTCTAATTGCAGTAATAATCTAAAAGGTATGAAGAATCAAACCTTCTCTAATACAGTAGGTTCAGTTGCATTTGCCAGCTCAAGAAGGCGAAACAACCCAACAGCAAAGAAACGGCTGTAGCTGAAACTCTCCTTACTCCTAGCTCTTTCAGCAATATCTTTTAGTATGCCCTCAACTTCTCCTTCTCTTGATGGAAACTCGACTAATGAACTGGCAGTTTGAGACTGAGCCCACTCTTCTAACTTTTGGGCATCAATTCTGCATGGCATGCTATATAAAATTATTTCATCTAGATGGAGAATCTGTCTCATCCTTAGTTGTGTGAAAACCATTTGGAACTAAAATATAAAAATCGATACCATATCCCAAGGGGACTCAATTTACTTATCCTATTTTCTAACCTTTACCTTAGGAATTTTTTCCACTTTGTCCCTGCAGCTATAAGGCAAATAAAAAAGTACAGAGGTGGAGGGGTTGAAATCTTAGTATCTATACAATAATTTTGAACAGCAAAGTCTTCCATATATGTTATTCCTTTTTCAAATTGAATTGACATCATAACTATAAGAGAAGGAAAATGCATGACATATCAGAAAAAAGAGCTCACTCCTATGGGAAGTTGATGAAGGTTATAAGTAGGACCTGTATTGTTCTGGTTCCTCATTCAGTGCCTTTATGTAAGCTTGAAATATGGCATCTCGATCCTCATCACTTGGGTAGCCTTCCATGAGCTGATCATATACAGTAACAAAACCAAGTGCAAATACAGGGTCATACCTATATGACCTCTTATACCGCATCAAATGTTGTTGCACAATCAGCTCCTGCAAAACTGTGTTATAGACACTTGGAATTGGACGCTTATATGCTCTCAAAAATTTAAACTTTGTCTCGGACACAGTAGGCAGATCTGAAATTCAAATTACAAAAACAAATCAGATAGAAGGTTAAGGATTAAAAAAAAAAAAAGAATCCTACAGTTAGAGAAGTCCATGTTGTTAATCTATACAGTTTAATTCTATCATCAAGAAAGTAGAGCCAAATCAGAATAAGTTTACATTACCGACATGCACCCTCGAGCTAAAAGCATGCTTAAAATACGGACACAACACAAACCTTGTACAGAAATTCAGTTAACACTTAACAGAATAGGGAAATCCACAATATTGCCTTCAAAATGGTTTCAAAGAACTAAGCATAGCTAGGTTGAATGATTGAAATTTGCATCTCTTACAGAAGAAGCCAAAAACATATGCACGCTGATTTTATGTTTCTACGTAGACGCATTGCAAAGACAATAGAAACCCGTATATATGAACTTCCTCACTAACAGATTCCATGATTCTAAACAGTACCCAGATCACAAGAACTACCTGCCTACATATACAAATCCAAGAAACAAACTCCCCGAAAGAATTCAATTCCTGGGTTCTTTGATTACTCCAATTCCCATTCACTTTCAATCCATTTAACCAAATAAAAACAGAAATCAGAAGTATCTACCCTTTTAAATGACGAGTTGCATAACTCACCAGAAGCAGTAGACATGCACCGGACAACCAAACGAGAACTGGAACTGGAAGCCCGAACACCCACACAATTACACGAAATGCTGGACCGGAATCGAACCCCATCAAAATTTGAACCCAAATAGATCGCCGATGAGGTATTGACTTTCCTCTCACCGTACGTCCAGCAAATCGCCGAGAGAGATACAGACGTAACCGCTGCCATTGTATACAATAAAGTGTTAGTGTTATATGTGTCTATTGGAAACAAGGATTCCTATCGGTGGAAAGCTTTTCTTGGCTAAATCATGCCGAAGGAAGTGGGAGGTTTTGCAGAGGCAGAGTGGGGTTCGAGTTCCGCTTAGCTTATCCAATGTTAAGGAAATGGGCGGACTTTTGTAAGGCTGAAGAGGAAGGCTGAGAGGTAGACGCGTGGGGGCGGTTGCTTGTGTTCTTTTCTCTCTCTTGCGTTGCTTGTGTGGTTTGTGTTGGCTTGAAAGGGAGATGGTGAAAGCGTCTGAATTTGAGGGAGTGGATGAGGTTCAGGACTAGGCTCGCGGTTTTGTCAAACGTTCGGTTATAGGAATTACCATGGGCCAGCCTGGACGCGGTTCCGTTGCTGAGAAGTGGACTTAGGCCTCATTCGATTGGAGAGGAAGGGAATGTATGGAAGAGTGCCACCCTAACCCACCCCATTTTCAGCCCTTCACGGCTTATTTTACTCCGATTTCGTATGTCATCTTAGTTAAATTATAATATTTTATTTTATTTTAAAAAGATATTATTATATTAGTATTATTTTTTAATTTAAATTATTCATCTTATTATAAAAAATTTCTTTTATTTAAAAATTATTTTGTTAAAGGTAATAAAGGTGAATCTATAAATTATTTACAAATTCTTAATATGTACTTTTTTGTCCCAAAATAATTTTTTTCTTTTTCTTTAAATTAACGATTTATGGACAATTCATATATTTGTTTATTTATCTCTTTTACTTTTAGAAAAAAGTTAAAAGATAAAGTAATATTTTTTGTGATAGGATAATTAATCAAAATAAATAAATAATGATAAAGTTAAAGTAATAAAAAAATATTTATCAATTCTAAAAAATAAAAAATGACAATTGATTTGAAATAAAATCAAAATCAAATAATAACAATTATTTTGAGGTGAAAGGAATAAAAAAATTGTTATTATCACTATTTTGAGACAGATAAAATATCAATTATTCGATTTTAATAAGACATATTAGGGTGTGTTTAGATTACCTAATTAGTTGCAACTGCTAAAGATCAAGGGCGAAGCCAGGAATTTTAGTCAATGGAAGCTAGCTTTTCAAATCTTAAAATAATGTATTGTAATTTTGAAAACTTACTTTCATATCATATATTAAAATAATACTTGACGAGTTTTCATGTCACCAAATTTATTTATAATATTGTCTATACTAAACAACTAAACTATTTTCTTTTCAATATAAACAACCGAAGGGTTTGAGAGAAATTCATCCTCTATTTTGCTGCAAAGTCTTGTTTTCGTAACTTTTTCTGTTATTGTTATAGAAACTAAAAGAATAAACATCAAAATAATTAACTTGTAAATAAGACTATAGACCTCTGATTTTTTTGTCTTCACAAGCCATTGATATAATTCAGAAATACGACAACATCCTATCTCTTCACTCTACCACTTTCTACAAGCAAACAAATTTTTTTTCCCTTTTTACTAGCTAATTACACTTTATATGAGTTTATTTTTCTTTTATACTAATTTAGGTTTCTATTGTTTTTCTCTGTAGGACTATATTTAAGGTTTTTCCTTTTATTGAATTTATATATGTTCCCTTAATGAATTTGTACTTTTTTTTTATTCCGATCCAATTCTACTTCATATAACTTCAGTATTACCATAATATTCAATTTTATTTGTAATCTCAACAACTCTAAAATCCAAAAAAAAAATTATACAATTTTTTGTGATAATAAAAAATCAATAAGTTTCATAACTAAAATATTACCCCCTCCATACTAGAATAATAGATTTTTTTGTTTTATCTTCAAATGAAATATTTGAAAACAATTTTTATCTTTACCTATTTTATACTTAAAAATAACTAAAAATAAATATCTACTTCCATCAAAAAAATAAATAATTAAAGTTAAAAGATAATTATAGGGTTAAAGTAGAAAAAAAACTATTTATCTTCCTCAAAATAAAAAAAATGATTATCATTATGGGATAAATTCTAAATAAAAAATATCAATTATTCTGGAAAAAGAGAGTATACTAATTTTTTTGTTAAAACATATCTACTAACAAGTATAAAATAAAATTTTAAAATGAAATAAAAAAAAACTCACAAAACTTTAACGTTAAAACTCAATATGACAATATATGATTCATATAATAAAAAAAGTGTTGTTTTTAGTCTTTATAAAGAAGTTAGTGGTCCCTTTGGTGATCCCTTAATTTGTCTTCAAACTTTCAATGAGAAGAGCTGTGTTGCAGTGGCTTGCATTCAGCCATTGGCAGAGTTTTTTTTTTTTTCTTTTTTTCCTAATTTTTTCAAAGTTAATTAATTGAAAGAAGTTGACACTGGAACAGTGGGACTAGATACTAGAGAACTAACATAGAAGACATAAGAGTTGGTTTTTTCTTTTTCTTTTTTTTTTTCTACAAAATTCAATGGTGGGCCTTAAAATGAGTGGCTTTTAAATAATAATAAATAATTAATTGTTAAAATAAATAATTGATTATATAGATTATGTTTGGACTCTTAAAATAACTCATTATTATTGTATCTTTTTTTATTTTATGTATTTTAATAATTAAAAATATAATATTTGAAATTTTAATAATAATAATTAATAAATTAATTATATACAAATTTTTTTTTTCAAATCCCAGGCGAGGCATCGCCCCCTGGTCTCTATGTGGCTCCGCCACTGCTGAAGATAGTTGATGATCAATAACTAATCATGGTGGTCTTTTAACCTTTTCCCTACTTCAAGAATTTGGGAATAAATTAATATTATTTTTATCCTAAAATAATAATATGATTTTGTTAAATTAAAGATTTAAAGATAATATTTATATTTATCTATAATATTTT